TTTTTCTTCAATTACAGTTACTTTTATATGATTTGTATTAAAACTTTTCATTTATTTCCATTTATTTAGCTTTTCAAATGCCTTTTTTGTATAGATTGAAAGTCTGGGTCTGGGAGTGCTGCAAATATAAAAATATGAATCATTCACTGATCTGTAATAGAGATTATATATAGATCAGTGGAATTATTACATTTTTAAAACTAAACAAAGAGTGAAAGTGAAACTATAAGCAAAATCTATGGTATGAAAATAATTTATACATTATCTAAAAAACTATTATGACCTTCATTCCTACTAATTGCACTTACTATCATAACTTTACTCTAAATGAACAGTATTGTTTTTTTGTGTAGCATATATTAAATCTCCAATACAATTACATTATAAATACTCTGTTGTTTTGGTTTGGAAACACATTTTTCATTGACTAGTGTTATTGTTTTCTCTTGAGGACATTTACAGATAAGTATCTGTTCAGCAGGACAAATATTCAGCAGAACTGACACACATATCAAAAAGATGTGTGCGTGATAGTGTGTGGCCAGTTTGCAGAGCCAAATACTCTTTATTAGCAATTGAGATTCTGTCATTACTGCAATCAAAAAGTGTTGAATGTTGCCTCTGGCACTTGCTCCTGCTTTTTAGTCCAGGCGGCTCATTTAATCTACTTTCTGATACATGCAGACATCATTTTAGTAATAAAAATGAAAAGCATCGCCACATACCAGAAGTGTTCTGAATGCGGCAAGATGAATATCACATCAAAAAAAAATTGTGAAAGCCTAAATTAGAATAATTATTTTGGGTGTCAAAGAAAACGGTAAGGGTATCCAGCTTAAAAGTCTCTTGGAAAACATCTTTAATTATGTTTCATTATAGAAGATTTTACAGCTCTGTGGGTGTCACTTTGATTGTAAATTCCCAATTAGTATGAATTTTCCACGTTGGTCACACAATTAAGAAATTAAAAACACCATAAGTATAATATCATGGCTTGTTTATATAATATATTCTTAATGTGCAAGGGAGAGTTCTGGGTTAAATTTTGGAGTGATTAAGTAACAGCAATAACGTTTGGAGTTTTGTTTCATCCAAAAAACTGTCAAGCTTTTCCCCTTTCTGACTTGCAGCCAGCTCAAGCTGGTGTTGGCAGAAGTCTTGTGTAAAATAAAAAATTAATCATGCTGACTCAAAGCTGGCAGAAATTCTTCTGCTTATTCTTCTGATACTGAAAATCAGTGTTTGTAGAACTCTAAGTAGAAGCTCTACGTGAAGTCTACAAAAAGACAAGAAAAAGTATAACTTCCCTGTGGTTGATACTGTAAAAGTTAATAAAATGTTAGTCATTTTTAGCTGAAAAAACTAAAAATGGTCCAGTAAAATCTGTTCATGCTTTAAGTTAATTTACATTAAATAGTAAACAAATGTAATTTAATAGGAAAATACATGTAATTTTACTGTAAAACATTACTTGTTTAAAAATAACTATACAACAATTTACTGTGAAAACCTGTATTTAACAAGATAACATGTCCCTTTATAGTAAAATGTGGTTTCAAATGGAGGGGGGGGGGGGTTACAGTACTTTATTTACTTATATAAATAAGTTACTTCATAATTGGGACCTGAAAAAAGACTCAGAAGTCTTTTTGTGATGCATTAGATTCACTGTAAAAAATAACAAGTTGATTCAACTTTAATAATAATAATTTGTAACCTGGCTGCCTCAAAATGTTGTGTTAAATAAGTTTAAAAAACTTTTGTTGTTTAAACATTTAAGTTCCTTAAATCTATAATTAATAGTTGGGTTAACGAAGGTTAACTTTATACTTTGTCTAACCAACAAGTTTTTAGTTAGCCAAACAAGACAAGAAAGTTGTACTAACCTAAATAAGCATTTTGTTGATTACATTTATAATTATAAGTTGTGCAAACTAAATAAAAATGGGCTAAACTAAGCATCTTGTTGAATTAACTTATCTTTTTAAGGCAGC